TCCTTGTCGGTGTCCTCCAAAAAACTTTTTATTATCCGTTGCTAACAGCAACCAACGTTCTTTTTTTCTGTCGTCTATTTAAATATTTTAAACCATAAAACTGTCCTGTTTGACATATTTGTCAAGCCACATTACTTTCTCATAATCATTTTAATCACATCTAATTTGGGTATTTATAAAAAAATGTTCAGATATAAAACTTAGTCTATTAATATAATTTATTCTTTTCATCTCCAAATCATAGTAATTTCTTATTTAACAAAACCCCTATTAATTTATCTCCCACAGACTCGCTTGACAGTTTATTTCTGACGTTTTTAAAATTTCTATGTTTAAATATTTTTTTAAGAATTCTTCTTTTTTTTTCTTTTTAAAGTTTAGACGATTCACCTATACACTAGGCAACTATACTATTCAGAAATTATTAACACTATACCAGGTAAGTCAAAATTAATTTATTTAACAATTTACTAATCTTTTTCTCTCTTTTATTTCAGAGTCGAACCCACATTGTGATGGCTTCATGAAATTCATAAACAACAAACTCATATCCCTAGTAACACACGACGTCCTATGGACGTCCAATATACGTCCAGTTTTGGTCCAGACGTCCCTGGACGTAAAATGGACGTACTATGGACGTACGAAGTGGGACGTACTTTGGGTGGACTAAATATGGACGTTCTCTGGACGTACGTACCCGGACGTTCCATGGACGTCCATACTAGGACGTCCCCTGGACGTCCGAACTCGGACGTTTTCTGGACATCTGACATTTACCAATTATGGGATCAAATAGCAAATATTTTAATAAAATAAAAAATTATTTGCGTTAATAAAATAATTAAAAGCGAAAAGGTTAAATCATGATTAATTAAAAATTGATAGTTTAATATATCCAAAACATGTTTTTGTTTAAGGTAAAGTGTAAAAATATTTTATTTCTAGATAATTCGTTACAATTGTTTTATTATTCTAGTTATACGATGATATATGTTTGCTAATTCTAATAAGTAAAAATATGATTTTTATCGACAAGATGAATCTTGAAATCATTTTTCAAAGATGAACAAGTGGTAGTATATACTCTGGCTGAACAAAATAATGATGATAATGTCATTGTCTGTCATATCATACCTATTTAAACAAATAGCACAGTTTAATTATTTATTAATGCTTTAATAAATGAAATAAAAGAATTCTATTTAAGCAGTATACAGTGCATTGGTTTTTTGATGCTTGGCTTTGTGTTGTGGTTATAGTATATTGTTAAAGGTTTGGTACCACGTGTTAGGTTATACTTCAGAAATTGGTTTTATTTTAAAGGTAAGTGTAATTTTTACTTATTAATTATGTTTAAAAGAAAACGATTTGTTTTTAAGCGTCATCAACAGAGGAAGGTTACGAAAAACGTAGAGAATATTGTTGAAAATATTAATAACCTCGATATTCCATCTCCTTCAAACTTTTATTCGGAATCCCTGACTGATCATTCAGTTCAAATAGTTCAGGTTACAATACTTCCGATTTAAACTTTTTATTAACATGTTAAGTACCTAAAATAATGCAAATTACCACGTGGACGACCATTCCGGTGATCCTTTACAAAGCTCTTCTTTCAATGAAACTGAAGAAATGTCTAAACATGGTTGTAACGAGAATTCTGGAGAACCTTATCGAGATGTTTTTAATTTTTCTAATAAGTTATTCAACTGGACTTTGTCCTTTAATACTAGGTGAGTTATTCTTCTTCTTATGGTGCCCTATCTAATTAGTGGATGTTAACAACAATTATGGCATACTCCTCTCGATCTTGTGTGGCTCTAAAAAGTGCATGTGGCATCGAGGTTTGTCCTATCCCTTATGTAGGTGATTTATTAAAAATTCATAAAGAAGTTCCTGACCTTTCTCATTTGAGTTCAAATGCTAGAACCCTTCTTGCTTCGCTTCACCCAGAGAACAAATACTCTGATCCATATGATTCAAATTTCAATGGTATTTTTATCTTCACAAAAAAACAATGTTATAGAAATTTGTATACATTTTGATGGAATCCCACTAAAAAAAGAGTTTTAGTAGTCAGTTTTATCCTAGTTTGTATAATTTGTTGATATATCCTAAAATTGTAAATTTAATAGGCATTTACCATGGTTATGAGAAACCAAAATTTGCAAATGAATGTTTGATTGATTTTGTAACAGAGGCTGTTTTTTTATTAGATAGTTTAAGCTAAAATATTTAAGCATGGATGATCAAGTTTGTGGGGTAGTTAGATTACTGTTACATGTTGATTTATATTTTAGGATAATGAGCTTTCCAGGTGAGGAGACCATAAATGAATTTGTTAGGAGAAGCCATAAGAAGCTGATCTGGAATAAAATTCAAGGAAAAGATAGTTGGCTAGGGAAATAGCAATATAAAGTTTTTGAGGACACACATATAGCTCTGCTTTTAAAAGGTTTGTAACTTATAAACATAAATCAATTTAATGTGCATTTAAGAATTTACACTATCACTTAAGTGGCCACATACAGCTGATTAAGCATATTGTTAACTGTGTCTTATATGTAATTTAGATGGCAAATTTTAACAATTCATAAATGTTTAGGTCTGGCTATGAGATTGCTTTAAGAACTACAGCTAGCTTATGAGATAAAGGTTTGTTGTTGGCCATATATTTTATTTATACAGTTATTTTTATTTTTTACGTATAAAAGTGTAATTACTGCTAATTTGGTCATTAGAAATAAATACCAATGGTTGGGTTGGTATTCTTCTAATTCAGGTGAGATTCATTAAAACTACAGCACTTGAAATTCGTGTGTTTAATTTTACTTTGAATTATGATTTATTCGCAAGAAGCAAAGTATAATGAACTAAATCTGAAATTAGTTTATTCAATTTATGAATGTACATTAATTTTGTTTTCAGATGTTGCTTGGAAAAACTCCAAAACCAGCGTTGCCATGGGGAAGGAAGTTGAAACTTGATAATGAAATATCTGAGGAAATATTTAAAGAGAGGGCAGATAAAATTTAACTTGCATGTTGCATTAGCAAATATCATTAATTTTGTAATGATTAAATTGTGTAGTTCATGGACACAAAGGAACAGTCCAATTTTTGAGACTGTTTTATATATTAAAAATAAATACCTAAAAATTAATCTACTGTTGAAAGAAAACAGACAAAGTTCCATATTAGGTATTGATCTTTTTCATACTTATGATTTCAACTTTAAAACTCAACAATTGACTCGTCTGCTTTTAATTGCTGACCACACAATTGTAAGGGAAATCAGAATAGGAAGGGATAAGGGAAGTTGAATGGTTCTGTTTTTAAGAACCACAATTTCAACAATTTTGTCAATTTCTTTAGCAGTATTCACAATCCTTCTTTCTCTTGTGTAGACAAGTGTAGTCAAAGATCCCATATCAGTAACAGCCATATTCACTCTTTTAACTGTTAAAATTTGTGACGCATGCTTACAGTGTCTTAATACCAATAAAGGTCTTGGTCCAGACATAATATCTTAACTTATTTTTAGGGAATTGTGCATTCTTTTTATGTAGGCATCTATGGCTTATTTTTTATAAATCTCTGACTGAGGGTCACTTTTCATCACAATTTATTTATTGATTTTATCCTTAACTCATTGATTCCTAATTATCGTTCCATTATAATTCCTTCTGCTATTCCTAAAATTGTAGAGGCTTTACTGACTGATTTTTTGACAGTAAATTTAAAGAATCAGCTTCATACTGGTCAGGGTGGTTTACTTACTGTCTAGTCGTTCAACTTCAACTAATTTACACTGAATATGTTATAATTGCATTAAAAACCATTTTTATGTTGATTAGATTTATACTGACTCATCTACAAGCATCAACTGTTCTTGTAAATTGTGTAGACCATATTCTTATTCTGATATGATCAATTTCTTGAATCTGGATTCTCTTATCAAAAGTGTTACCTTTTAATCTTTATTTTTCAACTTGTTTATAAAATAACCAATCTACTGAATTGCTTCAGCTAGTTTGTTTTCATATTCCTTCCCATTCACTGTGTCAGAATTTACATTTCCATGTTCCTTACCACAGAACTAATTATGTTTCACACATAGAGATGGTCTAAAACTTTCATATCAATAGCTGTAGGTACTATTTGAAGCACTTAAATGCTAAATGAAACTTATTATAAAATGTGTACTTATTTATTTTATTCATGTATATTTTATTTTATCTGTAATTTTGTCTATATTTCTATAATGTTGCATTTTTGTATAATTTTGACAGTGAATTTGTTCCATTTGTTAATAATAAATAAATATATGTAATAATAAATGTTAGTTCCTTTAAACATTTAAGTTTTATTTCCCAAAATACATTCTTAATATGCACAGGATGACACCACTTTTAGTACTTTATGCAATGGCGTTGACGTCTAATTTACATCCTGAGCGCTAAAATAGATGTCCGAAAATATCACAAAAGTCCGTCAAGTAAGTTCTCTGGACGTATTATGGACGTCCAATTAAGGTCCAATTAACGTCCCGGTACGTCCATTTTACGTCCGCTCGGGACGTAAAATGGACGTCCATAGGACGTTTGGCGCAGCGACATTCGGACCAATATAGGACGTAAAACGGACGTAAATAGGACCAAAGCGGACGTTCGAAGGACGTCCCTAAAGTCCGCGAGGGACGTACTATGGACGTCCACTGGACGTACATGTGCTATTAGGGATAAAAATCCATTTAAGTATCCTTTTTAACATATTGAAATCATTTCAATATATATATATATATATATATATATATATATATATATATATATATATATATATATATATATATATATATATATATATATATAGATTAAAGCTTTTTCTAAATTTTGACAATTTTCATGAAAAACCAAGCAATTCTGCGATTTTAAAATTTAAAGTAAAAAAAAGTTTTAATTTAAAAATATAACTTATGTGGTACTAGAAAAATACTACCTGTAGATGATCAGGATCATCGTTAATATGACAATTTCTAATACATGCATGTCCACATGGCTCAACTCTAACATCACATGGAATCTGACATGGAAATTTGTCTGGCTCAATATGACAAGGCTTTTCTGCGTTATGGCCACATGGAAGCTCGGTATTAACCAACTCATTGCATTTGTATTTATCAGGGTCCAAGTGACACTCCATCGTGGCTGCGTGACCACACTTAAGCTCTCGCCGAACAGGATAGTTGCACGGACCACATATTTCATAACAATGTTTTTGGCATATGTGCGTCATATCATCACAAAGAATACTAAAAAAAGGTAAATATTATGTTTATATGGGATTAAGCCACAATTTATTGATATGAAAATTACATTTTATAATTGATTGTTTGATGTTTCGATTTCCACTCCGAAAATCATTTTTAATAAAGGTTATTTTAAGAAACGATGAAGTGTTTTTTTTTATAACCACAAAGTCCTAAGGTATATATTACCATTTAAATTGAAAACACCTTTATAGAATTTGAAATTAACCGATTTTAATAATTTTTTTTAAGTAAGTATCATGTAAAAAATGTCTAACCAAAAGGTTTAAATTTGCGGGGTATACCACTAAACTTTTCTTAAGTCAAAAATGGAGAATTTTTATTAGCGATTTTGTTATTGTCAATAACATTTATTTAATATTGTTCTGAAGCTATTTTCTTGTGCCATCTTAATGTCATTTACTATTTTTGTCGGGAATAAGCCTCATAACTATAAAATTAAGTTTATTTAACGCGTCGATTTCCACTTCTGAAAACGTGCCCAGAATACAAAACATTAATAAATTAAACATATTTTTGTTGAATTAAAAAAAAATGTTTAATTTATTAGTATTTTGTATTTTAAAACCCTTTGGGGTGAGAGTGTAAAATTTTTTAACTCGTCAAATTTTTAAAATCTTCTCTTTAATACCTTTCGTTTGATGTCACTCAAAAATTAAAAAAATAAATTTTATATACGAGGATAGATTGATATTAAACTAGACTTTGATAGATGGCGCTACTTGATGCCGAATTGGTTTCGGTGTTGACATTTGCCATTCATGACATGGCGGCTGTAAAAATTTTAAGTTTTAAAAACACATACTTTGGTTTTTACAGCCGTCAAAAGCAAGCACATTTTGTGTTTTCGGAGAAATGGAAAAAGTCGAGTATCGTTCGGTGATTAAGTTCCTCCACAAAAAGGGTAAAACGAATGTGCAAATTAAAGCCGACCTAGATGAAGTTTATGGTAAGGTTGCACCTCCGTTAGCAACAGTAAAATTTTAGAAAGCTGAATTTGTTCGTAGTCGTACGAGTGTTTTTGATGATGAGCTCCCTTGGAGGCCAAATGAAGTCACCACGCCGAAAATAATCAACAAAGTTCATGACATGATTATGGCAGATCGTCGAATTAAGCTCCGCGAGGTAATAGAGGTCCTAAACAGTTCCTACGAACGCGTACACAACATCATTCACTATCATTTGGACATGAAAAAGCTATCCGCACGATGGGTGCCGCGTTTGCTGACAATCCATCAAATGCAAAAACGTGTGACCATTTCGGAGACGATTTTGGCGTGATACGGCGCGATCTGAAGGATTTTTTTCGCCGATTTATCACCATTGATGAAACCTGGCTGCATTATTACACACCGGAAACCAAAGAACAGTCGAAACAGTGGCGCAAAGGCGGCGAAGGGCCGCCGACGAAGGCAAAGAATGCACATACTGTCGGCAAAGTGATGCCGACTGTTTTCTAGGATGCGAAGGGCATCATCCACATCGACTACTTGGAAAAAGGAAAAACAATCAATGGTGAGTACTACGCGGCATTATTGGATCGATTCGATGCCGAATTGCGTCGAAAACGCCCTGGTTTGGAACGCAAAAAAGTGCTGTTTCACCAAGACAATGCACCGGCTCACCGATCGGCCGTCGCCATGGCAAAATTACACGAAGTGGGCTATGAATTGCTTTAACACCCACCGTATTCCCCAGATCTTGCCGCCAGCGATTTTTTCTAGGTTCCAAACCTAAAAAAATGGTTCGGAGGACGCCGTTTCGCAGCAAATGATGAAGCTGTCACTGAAACGTCGGCATATTTTGAAGATCTCGAGCAAAAGTACTATTCGGATGGGATAAAAAAATTGGAACATCGTCTTACTATAAGTGTATTGAGCTAAAAGTGGACTATGTTGAGAAATTAATCGATTTAATTCCAAAAAACTTGTTTTTTTCTATCAAAGGCTAGTTTTATATCAATCTACCCTCGTAAAATATATAATAACAATGTTTTTTATGTTTATATGCCACTCCATGTCGCACGATAAAAGCCGCACCGATCTGTTGACTTCTGGATAGCGGTGACACTGTTCAATACGTTTAGAATTGCCGAACTGTGACGTATGCGCCGCAGCAAGAACAATCAACATGTAACATGCGGGCAGGCGACTTGATTCCAGTGGCTTTCTGTCTCTTCAGTGTAATGACTATGTGTAGAATACGACAATGACACATGCTTCATGTTGCCTCAATGGAATTGCTCCTTAAAACGTTTTTTATCACGGCGAGGAAATCCGCAAATATAATTTTTAGTGATAACGGAAACAATTTCATTTGCGCTTCGTGACTTGACAAAAAATAAATTGAAAATAAAGAAAACGAAATACATTGAAAGATTATTCGTTCCCGATCTCCCCAGTGACGTGTTCGCTTGGTTGGAAACTCACGGTTCGCATTCGAACAGATATATACAGTGGCGGCTTTTCTTTATGTGCTGCTGAGCTGCAGAACTACCAAACAACCATAGCAAATCTTAATTATTAAAGAATAATTAATATAGTTTTATTTCAAATCTGCCATATTATCATATTAAACATAAACTGTTAATAATAATTCACCAACAACGATGATTAATATTATTTTTTTTTACGTATTTACTCCTCTAGTGAAACCGTATAATTTTTTTACGTATTTGGTGCTCCAGTGAAGCAATCTTTTTACGTATTTGCTGCTCCAGTGAAGCCGCGTCGATAACAACCGAAACACTGGCAGCGGTTAAATGCATTTATTAGGCAAACGGCGATCTTAGCCGATGTGCTTCGGCAATCGGCTGATTAACGGCCTCGGAAATGTGTTTGCGAGCTGCAATTCACGACAGTTATTCGTGACCGTTGCATCTGTGCCAGAGAACTACGAACGCAGAGAAGCGACACTCCTTTCATCTTGCGTGGGCAAGCCGCCAACGAGTGAAAATGACAGGAAAGCACCTTATTTTTTAATAGTCAGTGGGCATATTACACAATATAAATTCTTAAATAAAATTTAGCATTTATGTTGACTTTCAATAAATATGAAATATTGCACATGAAATATATTTGTATTTATAAATAATACTTCATTACTTACAACTATAAGAGTATTAGTATATTCGAAGTGTATTGTAAATAATGAAGTATTTAACTTTTGTCAATATCTCATCTTAATAAATTTACAGTTTTCTCCTGATTAAGTCACAAAATTGTCACTAAATATTGAGATATACAATAAATAAAGTTTTAATATTTTTTATTTGTAATTCCCATTTAAATATTTATTCCCTAAATATGTTGTGTACTCCGATCCATATATTTGATCTTTGTTATTTATATGTAACGAATTAAACATTGACAGACAACTTTTGTATATAGCAAAAAGTAGATGAGCATTTAGTTTTTTCATAATTTAATGTAAGTTTGTTTGGTGAAAAAGACAGCAAATATTTGAAGTTATGTTAATGTAAGTTTGTTTATTTGCAATCATGTTTTTATTTTGAAGTCTTGTTCTGTTATAATTTTAAGATTTTCCCAATTTTCGATCTAATTATGTCTCCAACAATTTTTAGTTTGAGCATTTTAGGAATTTCTTTGTTTCGTTTAAATCAAATATTCTCGTGTATAAAACCCTCTATATATTTTTATTTCCTAAAAATACTATATTCGTATTGTTGTCTGCGAGCGCTTTCACACCAGTAGGCCAACATCTGTGTTGATTTTTTGACCTGAGCCTTCGGAGACAATAAATTTAATGTGTGTTCGTAATTCTCTGGTTTTTATTAATAATTAATAAATAATAAATAATTGACTGTATAAAATTCTGTAGGGCTTTTGAGCTCGCCTTACGAGGACACGATGAATCTGAAACATCAGATAACCCTGGAATTTTTCGTGGTTTAGTGAATTTTTCTGCTGAACTTGATAAAACACTTAGTGAACACCTTACAAATGCGACAATTTTCAAAGGTACCTCAAAAACAATACAAAATGATATTTTGGATTGCATGCTAGAAGTATACGCTGAGGAGATTTTAAACGAAATCAATGAAGCCCCATTTTTAGCAGTGATAGCTGATGAGACAACGGATGTTTCTATGAAATTTCAAATGGTCATTGTTTTTCGTTATGTAAAAAACGGTGCTCCAGTTGAAAGGTTTTGGACTTTTTTGCTTCCAGAAAAACATGATGCTGAAACCTTAGCTAACACAATTTTGAATGTTTTAGACCCAATATTAAAGAATAACAAAAATAAGCTCATTGCACAAAGTTATGACGGAGCAGCTGTTATGAGTGGGATACATGGCGGAGTGCAAACAATAATTAAGAGAAAATATGAAACTGCTCATTTTGTGCACTGTTACGCCCATCAATTGAATCTAAAAGGTGCAGTGCCTTTACTAAAATTTATAATTTCTAATAATTTAGAGGACACATTAACAGAAACCAAAAAGTTGATACAAATTCTGGTGACTACGCCAATGACCACAGCAGAAGCTGAACGTAGTTTTTCAACTTTAAAACGGATCAAAACATTTTTAAGAAATTCAATGTGCGAAGACAGATTAACAGCCCTTTCCACACTCTCGATAGAAAAAAAGTTCATCGCTTCAATACCGAACTTTAACGATAAAGTAATCGAAAAGTTTGCGACAAAAAAGGACCGGCGTATTAATTTCCAATTTAGAAAAATGCAATAAATGTAAGTTAATCAGATTTTTATAGCATGTCGTTATTAGTTACTATTAATTAGTATTAAAGCTAATTTTATTGTTTTTGTTTTCGTATGTTATTCTATTTCTATTATTTTATATTGACCGTGGTTCATGCAGCACACCCTATAGCAGATGTCACGAGCCGCCACTGGATATATACCATTTTAACTTAAATAGAAGCTGAGTTGAATTCTCGTCCACTCTATCTAACTGCTTGGCAACAATTCCAGCAAATCCAATATTCCTTTTGCAAGCG